GACTTAGACAAATTTCTCCCTGCGAGATGAATAAAGATTGTCATTGTCAATGTCTTTGTCATATGCTAAGGAAGCGATTCCAAGAGGGAACCCTAAGAAGTTCCGCCTTTATTGGGACAAAGAACTGGAACAACTGACCAAGGCCAGAAAGAAAGCCAGACGGCGTGCTGAGAAGAACCCAACAGCCGAAAACAGAAAGCACTATAACTACCTGACTGCCAAGGTAAAGCTGAAGACCAAAAGTGCGAACAGGCAAACATGTAGAGAACACTGTGGAGAACTAGACCTGTGTAAGGACGGGAGGAAAGCCTGGAACCTGCTTACCAATCTCACAGGTACAAAAAGAAGGAAAAACCCTGCCTCAATGAAACCAACTGAGAAAGGAGAAACATGCAAAGCTGAGGTTAAGAATAAATATTTTGCTAGTATCAACAAGAAAGGAAACCAGAACAAACTGAGCCACACAATAAAGCAGCTGACCAAAAGGGCAGAATAGACCCCCAAGGCAAACCTGGAGGTCTTTGAGAAGGAGTTTACTCTGACGGAATTGAAGGCAGCCCTCCCTCAAAAAGTATAAAAAGAGAAAGGCCCCAGGACCAGATCACATCACCAATGAAATGATCCTCAACCTGACAGACTCTTCCCTCTCCATACCCCTGGACTTCTTCAACAGGACCTGGAATGAGGGACAGCTCCCAACAGAATGGAAGAAAGCAAACATAACACCGATACTAAAGAAGGACAAACCAGCAAGCCAGTCTTCAAGCTACAGACCAATCTCTTTAACATCATGCCTGGGTGAGGTCGTCGAGAGAATGGTCAACGACAGACTGTACTGGTGGATGGAAAACACCGGAACAATCAGCACATCACAGGCAGGATTCAGGAAAGGCAAAAGAACTATGGACCACCTCATCAAATTTGCGCAGAAGACCAGCGATGCCTTTCAAGATAAAGACAATGTTGTGGCCGTCTTCATCGACATGAGGCAGGCGTATGACCGTGTGTGGAGACAGGGACTGTTCTACAAAATGCAAAAGCTTGCGATAGCAGGAAGGATGTACAGCTGGATCAAGAACTTTCTGTCTTGCAGAACTATCTAGACGTCATGTGACAGCAAGATTTCTTCACAGAGGACACTTGAAGAAGGCCTCCCACAGGGGTCAGCACTCAGCTTTACCCTCTTCCTGTTGTTCATGAACGACTTGCTAGATGTCATCTCCTGCCAGAAAGCACCCTACGCTGACGATTTACTCATCTGGAACAAAGGAAGTGACATGAGAGCACTGAACCAAGCTATCAACGCAGACCTGACTACTATCTCGTCCCACTGCCAGCTATGGAAGATGGAGATCAACTTCAGCCTCAAAAACAAAGTTACAGCAAGTCAGGTAAACCTTCAGATCAATGGAACCACCATCAGACATGAGGACTATCCCAAGTGTACCTTGATTTACAACTGGACCGAAAGCTGTCTCTCAAAGAACACTTAGGGGAGCTGACCAAGAAAGTCTCCTCCAGACTAAACCTCCTGAAACACCTCTCATCACTCGACTGGGGAGCTGACAAAGCAACCCTCCAACAACTTTATGTAGGGTATGTCAGATCTGTGATTGACTACAC